TGTATTTCCTGTATCCCCCAAGAATATCCTTTCAGGGTGTGGAAAAGAAAAATCTACTTTAATTTGCATTAATAAGCTTTTAAGATATTTCTAAGCTGTTAAAATGATTTTAATAACCAACAAAAGATACATAGTAAAAGATTGAATTTAAAACCGATTAGGTCACATTTTGTGAGTTATCCACCATTAATTTCAGGACAGGACAGGGCATGTCTCACAACAGAAAATTATTAAAACAGAATTGTATATTATAATGTGGGTAAAATACAATTGCTTCAAGCTATTTCTTTTGGAAAACACCTGTTTTAGTATCATGACACTCTAAGCTGTGACATCAGCCCCAAGTGAAATAAATGCAACATAAGAAACAAACAATCATACATGGTTTAAAGGAAATTAGACATGGCTTCAGTTTATTTAAAAGTATTCAAATAAAGTAGTAAAATGTTCCTTTGTGCATGACTATCATCACTTCACAGTTTTTGTTAATTTAACTAAAACAAGAATTAGTTTTTCTAATAATACGTTTGCATTCAGTTTGCTTTGGTGGCATCAGTAATTTTCCGGTGGCTCACAGGTTGGTGTTGATTTTGTGTTTTTCCACTGGTAAACCTTTCACGTGGCCTTCCTGTCCAGACCTGTTTTATTGCGCTCTACTTGTCATTTTTAATCCCATGTCATTTGTATTATTACGTCAGTCATTTAACTATTAAATCATAATGATCTAATCATAAGTTAATCTAACAAGTGGCTGGTTTTTTGTTGTAATATGACATAGATTTTTTTAAGCTAGTCACATTCACTCTAAAGAAATGTAATGCACAGATAAGCGGACCACGCATTGATAATGTTATCTGATAATGCCCTCAGCGACGTTTCAAGTCAGCGATGACGGTAAGGGCTGCATTCCAGCCAGGGGAACCCATCACACCCCCACCTAAAAATGACATATCGACATGGAAAAATTAGCCATCCTGGCCGTCATTTATCATCAGCAGTGAAGGCATGGGCACATCTTAAGATCAAAGGTTCATTAAGTGTGCTCTCTAAGACCAGCTAACATTGTATTTATTACTGTACAACATAATAAACAGCCTTATTTGCAATTCTGCGTTCAGCTGAGCACTAAAAGCAAACCTGGATGACAGCCACTGCCACACAGATAGAGCCCTTTAATTGGTGAGCGGTAGTCTGCGAGAGAGGGCAAGGGTCGTGTTAAGTAGAGCTGGTCCAGTGACATTGATCCATGGAAGATATTCTGTAAAAACAAGACCAAAAGTCTAAATTCCCCTTTTGTTTTTCCTTCCAGGGCTATAAGTAGAAAAATAGCCTCCCTTGTGGTTAATTACTGTTTTCTTCATACAAAGGAGGCAGAAGCAAATGCAGTTAAGCGATTAAGTGTCACACAGTGTGTGAACTTTGATTCTGGCTCGTGCTGTAGTAAAGCTGCCTGTCACCATTAACTGCTTATACAACAGCCACATCCCAAAGTAGGCAGTTAATGACTGAACACTGAAAATAATGCAAATGACTTCCTCATCCAGTGAACAGCTGACTGTGTCAAACAAATAAGTGGCGTGTCAACATTCAAAGTGTTGCTCAGTGCTACAGCATCCACAGTGCATAGTATCTACCCCTCCAGTGAGCCCAAAGATCCTCTCCAGGTCAGGAGGGGCCAGGATGTCCCTGCCCACCACAGACTTTTTAAACCCAGGGGCGTATTGCTCTACCCAGTCAAACACTGAGGAGACAGAAACAGACATGCTTTTCACTCAAACACATTAATCAACATCCACGACATTTAAAGAGTCCAATTCATTTGAATATTTTAATAATTTTGGAGAAAATATATTCCTAAGATTCACCAGTCAATTTGTAAACTTGACTCATTGTTCCATTTAAACTGTAAGAAAATGTCTAAGAAAGTTCCCTTCAGTGTCATTGAAGCCTGCTACAGTGAGGCTTTAGAGCTTGAAAAGAAGGTAACTGGACTTCTTTAGGTTTTTTAAAGAGGGTTAAGGTCTCATCCAGGAGGCTTCTTCAGGTATTTAAATGCTAGCAGGTTTTATCCCATACATGAGCCAAGGTTTGACAAAAGGTGTGGCTCACTACAACCAGAGGTTTCAGGTGCACTGGAATATCATGCTTTGATAGTTCCTCTGATAGACCTGCTACATAAGTGATGACAATGTGGTTCCATTTCTCCCTCATTCTGTTTCTCCCTTGTTGGTTTCTCACCTTATTTTCGTGCATCTTTGCTGATTTGATGAAGGACCAGTTGGAGTAACCACATTTTTTGGGAGTTTTTTTTACTTGCATGTGTTCCATTGTTTCCCTTTCTAGATAAGAGGGAACACTTTCTGCCTCGTGTTGCAGGTTCCTGATCACCCCAAGTTCACATTTCAGTAGGTGGTGGGAGTCAAAGAGTAGCTACTGGTGTGTGTGTTTTCAGTAAACTACAATTTTGAGGCTTCCATCCTCCTCAATGCACACAGCCAGAAATAGCAAACTATTAATCTTTGTATTTTCCCTGGTAAACTTTATGTTTCTATCCACTGAGGTCACATGAATACTGAAGGCTTCTACTTCTTAGATTTTGACCCAGGTGTCATCCACATATCTACTGTGGCTAGGTTAGGTGCTATTAATTTGAAAGAGCCAAAGAGCTTTACTTTTAACTTCCTTCATGAAAAGCTTGGCTATGGGAAGTCCATGGCAGTACCCAACCCCCCACACCAAAACAATAGTTGCATTTAACATACATGCTGCTGAGGTAGAAGTCTAACAGTGTACAAATCTGATTGAGGTAGGGCTGGTTCTGTTGTGTAAGGAGCTGTCTTGCTGTAATCAGTTTCTCACAGTCGCCACTGCCTTGGTTGCAGGTATATAAGTAAAAAGCAAGACCACATCAAAGGACACTATGGTTTCATGTAGATCTAGTGTACGTTCAAAGGCTTTTGTTTTGAAGTCAGTAGAGTTTTTGATATGATGCGGTGTTACCCACAAGCACAGCTGAGATGGTGAAAAGGTGCTTGGAAATGTTGTAGGTGGCTGGGAGGTGGAACATCTTCAAAAAACTTCAAGAAGTCCAGTCACCTTTAAGATCTTAAGACTACTATGAACTGGATGACTGTGAATCTAAACAAACACACTGCCATAGTAAGCTACAACTAAATCTACCAGCAGTAAACATGTTTGGCATGCTCAAAACATTAAGAAGTCCAGAGAGTGGAGCATTTGTGTTTCTAACCAGTGTCTGCAAATGCCTCCCGGTCCTGGTCTGTCCACTCCCTGCCTTCTATATAATAGGGGGTGAATTGGGTAAAAAGTGACACCACATGGCAGCCAGGGGGAGCCAGAGTAGGATCCAGCACAGAGGGGATGGTCATTTCCACCATAGGCCTACAAGACCAGAGGAACATGATGCAACCAGATGATGGATTGATAAACATGTTGGATAAAGATTTTCTAAAGATATATTTGGGTGATAATGTTCAAGTAAGTGCTGACTGTGAATTCTTTTATCCTTAGCGGGATGTAAACTAGTTCAAGGGTAAGTAAGTGTTATCTGTGAGATAAGGATACTGCACGTGGACTACTTATGTGAGTAACCTGGAAAAATATATGTTGAAAATACATAAACTAAAAAAATTGTATTAAACTATATGAGAAAGTATATTTTATTGTACAATCTCAAAGGTTTTAAGGTTGAAGTGCTAAACATTCACACTACTCACTTTAATA